TTGGGGATGCCGCCCCCCTGACGTTGGCTGCCGCGTCCAACCCTTATGGTGCGGGACCGAGTGGCCACATAGTGGCAACGTGGAACACGTCGGATCCTTTCAAGGTTGATGTTGTCACAAACGGTCAGCCACTACCGAGCATTGACGCCTCTCTTCCCCTCACCGATGCCGAATCGAGTGCTTGTTCTCTCCTGAAGCCTTATAGGGCCATATCTTATGACCCGAACGCATTGCTCAACTCGACACTCAACAATACTCTATGCGCGGGTATTCTGAGGTTCTCAGCCTCTCTGCTCGACAAGAATACTGCATGGTTCGAAGCGACTACCTTGGGCGTTACCTCGCGGTTCGTTTTCGCTGATATGACTGCTCTTCATATGACACCACTCTCCTTAGCTGGCAATGAATCCCTCACGGTCGTCAACCACCCCTTCCCGCATACTATCGGGGAGCTCACTGGGTCGAAGCAGAACTTCGCAATCTCCTTCTCGGTGGGCGGCTTCTACGCCATTGCCCTCACAGTTGTGGCCGCTTCCCTCCTGTCCTACATGATGATGGAGAAGACGCTCAAAATTAAGGAGCAGTTGTATGTTAGTGGTTGCGGAGTGCTGCCGTATTGGACAGCAAGCTGGGTTTTCGACTTCATCTTCACCTTCTTCTCGGTCTGTCTTACCTTCATCCCGTTACAGGTCTACAAAATCGAGACTTATCTTGAAGCGGATAACCAGGCTGCGGTATGGGCCTTGTTGGTTGGCTTCTGCTTCGCTACACCGCCATTCAATTACCTCATCAGTGTTATTGCACGCACAAGCACCATCGCCACATATATGAGGGTGGCCGCATCAATACTCGGTGGTTTGATTGGTTCATTCGTGGTATCAGTACTCTTCTTCGCGACCATCGCTCCTTCGGCTGGCCTAATCATAATGTGGATTCTGAGGATATTTCCAACCTATTCAGTGGCACAAGCCTCATCAATATCGTCTTCACTGGTCTCGATAAATCCTTCTCGGGCGGATTCGTTCT